TTTTTTTGATTTTCGAGATAGGGTTTCTCTGTAGCTTTTCGTTCCTGTCCTGTAACTAGCTCTTCTAGACCCAGCTGGCCTCAAACTCACAGAGATTAGAATCATTTTTAAGCTTTGTTAGGTCTTCTGTGTAAATTCTGGCCCCACGTTGAAGCACCGTATGCAAACAGAGGTGGTGCTTTCCTGTCACGCACACAAAAAACAAACGTGTAGATAAATACCTCTTTTAAAGAAAAGGAGTAGGTAGACAAGAGATAGATGAATGTGACCTGCATGTGCACACACACAACACACATAAATGTACACACACGCACGAATAAAATTAGTGAACTTGTAGTAGGAGCTGCAGGCTGCTTCCCGCCGCCCAGCTCCTGCATGGCTAGCTTTACACCTGAAATAACAACACACAAATTGTATTCTTTTAAACACTGCCTGGCCCATTAGTTTCAGCCTCTTATTGGCTAACTCTCACATCTTGCTTTAACCCATATTTAGTAATCTGTGTAGCACCACAAGGTGGTGACTTTCCAGGAAGTATCTTAACCCACATCCATCTTGGAGAGGAGAGCTATAGTGTCTGTTTGACCCTGCTTTCTTTCTCCCAGAATTCTGTTCTGTCTACTCCGCCTACCTAATTTTCTGTCCTATCAAAGTGCCAAGGCAGTTTCTTTATTAACCAATGAAAGTAACACATAGACAAATGACCCTCCTCCATCATGAACTTTTGAAGAAATTGGTCAGAAGAAACCGTAAGGAGAAAAGGCATGATCTCACTATTTAGCTCAGGCTAGCCTCCAATTTGAGCTCCTCCTGCCTTGGCCTCCTGAGTGCTGGGATTACGAGTGTGTGTCACCAAGTCAGAAGGATAATGGATATTAATAACTACTATTAATTTTTCAGAGCAATACTGATAAGAGGGGATGGGAGGCCTTTCATAGCCAATGGGGGGGTTGTTAAGGGCTTTTCAGTCAGAAAGAAACCCCTATTGGCTCTGTCCTCAGCCCCCATGTTATCCTTATTCCTTTCTCAGGGACGCTATCACCAAAATGAAAGACGTGTACCTAAAGAACCCTCAGATGGGAGACCCGGCCAGCTTGGACCACAAACTTGCTGAAGTCACCCAGAACATAGAGAGACTGCGGCTGGAGACACAGAAGTTTGAGGTGTGAGGAACAGGAGCTAAGGAAGGGGCAGCAAGGGGAAGGGTACCTCTGGGCAGGCACCCGAGGAGACCCCCACCCCCACCCATCAGTGGTCTCTGTGATGGCAATGTTGGTCTATGTCCCTGGAGAGGGAAACCACCCTACTGACACGCCTCGGGCTATGGGGTTTCCCTGGGTGACCTCAGAGCCACGGGATTGAGTCAGAAGGAAGGATAGAGCAATTTATCTGTGGTTGCAGGGCTGCCCAAGAGTGTAGCCCAGTGGTGCCTGCTTTCTGCCATGTGGAATGCTTGGTAAATCTGGTGAGCAAGGGCCTCCCTCCCCCTCCCCCAGCTTTGCAGGGGGATGAAGCGGTTGCCTAGGAGCCCCACCTGCATAGCCAGCCAGTGCAGGCTATGAGACATCAACCAGGTCTTCGAACATCAGCTTTAAGTGACTCCAACCCTGAGCTAAGGCCTGACAGTTCATGTTTGAGCCTAGGCTAGCCCAGGTCCAAGTCTTCTGTGGTTTTTGCTTCCAGGCCTGGCTGGCTGAGGTGGAGGGCAGACTCCCGGCACGTAGTGAGCAGGCACGCCGGCAGAGTGGGATGTATGACGGTCAGACACAGCAGACAGTCACTAACTGCGCCCAGGACCGGGAGAGGTACAGTACCTGTGGGACCCCGTCTCTGGCAGAGGGGCCGTCTGGCTTTGTACTTCTAAGTTCTGAGTCTCTCATGAACACAAGGCAAGAGCGTCTGTTTCCATCACCTCTCATTCTGCCCCCATGAAAATATCTCAGCTTACCATCCAATATGGGCTGACCATCTGAGGTGGCATTGCCCCACGGTGGTGCGGGCATAACCATGTCTCCAGGTTGGTCGCTATAGTTGCTGTATGTCTTCCTCTCTTGAGCAGCCCAGATGGTAGTTACACAGAAGAGCAAAGCCAGGAGAGCGAGCTCAAGGTGCTGACCACAGATTTTGATGATGAATTTGATGATGAGGAGCCACTTCCTGCCATAGGGACCTGCAAGGCCCTCTACACATTTGAAGGTACTGCGGCCCAGGGGAGATCTTCCGCCTTCCTAAACTGCTATGAGACCCCTCTCTCCCAGAGATCAAAACTCTCTATCTCTCTCCTTCTCTCTCATACATACAGTAAAATTAAAGAAGACAATTATTTATTTATTTTATGTGAATGAGTGTTTTGCCTACATGTGTGTCTGTGAACCATGTTAGTGCCCAAGGCCAGAAGAGAGCTTCAGATCCTTCGGAACTGGAGTCACAGGTGGTTGTGAGTCACCGCATGAGTACTGGGAACAGAATCCCAGTCCTCTGCAAGAACAGCCAGTGTTCTTCCCCCACTCCGAAACTCACTCTGTGGACCAGGCTGGCCTTGAACTTACAGAGATCTCTGCCTCCCAAGTGCTGGGATTAAAAACATGCACCACCACTGCCTGGCATAGCCAGTGTTCTTAACTGCTGAGCCATCTCTCCAGCCCCAGTAAAAGAATCTTTAAATAAATAAATAAATAAATAAGATGGAAAATCGATAATAATCAACCTGACATCAACCGCTGCCCACCATACACTACACACTCACTATCACACACGTACATACACACATCACACACTCACAGTCTCTCACATACAGTTATACATACACACTAACACACACACACACACACACACACACACACACACACACACACACACACACACACACACACACGGAAAGTAGACTACCTGGCTGAAAAAAAGAAGAGTTAGTTTTTCCTCCACCTGCACTGAGGATGGTGTTTAAGCTGTCAACAGGCATGCCATTGTCCCCTGTGTGGGATCAGCCAGGAAACAGGGTGGACCATCAGCATCATGCCTCTATCCTGTGTGCCTAGACATGGTGCCACCCAGAGTTACAGAGGATGCAGAATCAGTCAGGGCTCAGGGAAATCGTCAATGAAGCTTTGCTTTGTGTCACGCCACCTCGCACACAGACACACACAGTGACCCTGCTGTGACTGTTCCCCAAACCATTTGTCTCCTCCCTATTTCATTCTGTGGCTGTGATGAAATACCCTGACCGAGAGCCACTCAGAGGAGAAGGCATTTATGTTAGCTCAGGGTTCCAGATCCCAGTACATCACAGCAGGGAGCCAAGACAGACTTGAAGCTGCGCTCACACCCACTGCCAAGAGATGATGGCTCCGCTAAGCTTCTCCTTTACACAGCAGTGAACTTTCAGGTGCCGCCCGCTTTCAGGCTAGGCCTTCCTGCATCATTTATGGTGGTTGTAAGACAGACACCCGAAAGCCCAACAGTGGTGGGCGTGGCGCACACCTTTAATCCTAGCACTCGGGAAGCAGAGGCAGGCAGATTTCTTAGTCTGAGGCTAGTCTGGTCTACAGAGTGAGTTCCAGGACAGCCAAAAGCTACACAGGAAAACCCTGTCTTGGAGAAAAAAAAATTCTCCCATAGACACACCCACAGGCCACCGTGCTGTATAGTTCTTCACTGACCTCTTCCCAGACGACTTCAGGTTGTATCAGCCTGACAGAACTAACCATCATACAATCCCAAAGCTGATCTAGAGGTTTGGCTCTGACTTTTAAATGACCTTAGAGAACTTTAAAAAAAAAAAAAAAAGGGAGGGGGGAGGCTGGAGAGATGGCTCCACAGTAAAGAGCACTGATTGCTCTTTCAGAGGACTGGATTCAATTCCCAGCACCCACATGACAGCTCACGACTGTCCGTACCTCCAGTTCCAGGGGACCCAACACCCTTCTCACACAGACATACAGACATGCATGCAGGCAAAATACCAATGATATATATATGTGTGTATATGTGTATATATAATTATATATATATGAAGAAGAACAAGAACTGCCTTGGGGCCTTGACTAAGGAGAAGACAGAGCTGTATTGTGACTGACATGACTTAGCAAAGAGGAGGAGAGCCAAGGCCAGCGACATGGCTGATCCTTGGGTGCTCAGAGATGCCCTGGGACAGAACAGTAGGATAAGTGTCCCAGTGAACCCAGATCTCCTAGGCTACATTTCTAGGGGCTAGGGACATCAAGGAGACAGTCCTAGAGGCAGTAGGAAAAGTAGAACCTTGACTTCAGAAAGTGCCAGAAGGGGAAAGAGATGAGGGCCCTGCTAGAAGGCGCTGTGGAAGCTGAGGGAGGACCTCCCCCCCCCGCCTCTGCCCCAGGAGAAACCCTGAGAGGAGCAGAGACTCACCCGGGCTTGTGGGGAGGTGTGGACGGTCCTCAGAGGACCTAAGGAAGGAAAACACAGGGCAGTGCGGAGGACCAAGGGGACATACTCCATACTGATCTCATCCCTCTTCTACCTACGCCATTGCAAGGGCCCTTCCAGCCCCGCCCGAGAGACCTCATCTCTCCCTTTACCTCTGCAGGTCAGAATGAAGGCACCATTTCCGTGGTGGAAGGAGAGCTGCTGAGTGTGATCGAGGAGGACAAGGGCGATGGGTGGACTCGCATCCGCAGAAGTGAAGACGAGGAGGGCTATGTCCCTACTTCCTACGTCGAAGTCTATTTAGACAAAAACGCCAAAGGTGCTAAGACTTATATTTAATCCACTTAAAACAAATACAAAAACCCTTAAAAGCATTGGAGTTGTCTCTCCCAACCGCTTTGGCTGCCGTAGGCCTTCAAGAGGCCAGCAGAGAGCAAGTGATACAGACACTCGGGGAACTGGGGTGTGCAGAGCTGCCCCGTCCTGCTTACAACTGTGTTGTCTGAAATCTCGTCAGTGTTTCTATTCCTTTCAACAAAAGTATGTAGATTTTTAAAATGTGCGGTGGTGGTTCATTCCTATAATCCCAGCACTCAGGAGGCTGAGTAAGGAGCATCCCACCGAGTTTCAGGCTAGCCTGGGCTATACAGTAAGACTCAGTAGAAATTAAGTAAATGAAAGTTAACATTTGTTGTTTCATCAATGGAACTGAGTAACGTCTCCCAACAAAGAGGATAACATTTTCTTAGTGCCCATGCCGAGTGTCCTTACACTTGCTGCTCAGGCCCTTTTGTTGTCTGAGTGTCCCAAACAACCAAGATATGTCCAGAACGGTGTGCTCCTTGAGCGATTTAACTTTGACATGACATGACAGTCTTCTGGCTCTACCCGATGGTGGAGTGTCTTCAAGCTGGTGAGGCAGGTGTACAGCAGCTAGTTGCCCAACACCCTGGGGTCATTCGAGAAGGTTTGCCATGAGCAGAACCTGGTGTACCACTGCACGCAACGACCCCTGCAAGTCCCTTTTTAAGAGGAAGATTTTTTTTTTTAATCTTTGGCAACTATAAGACCCAAAGTTTGAACTTCCTAGGCATCATTTGGGGTTTCTGGCTAACTCCAGTCAGAATAAAATAAAGTCTCCGTATTCTAAAGGGACCTGGGCCATGCGGGGATTTGCATTTTTAAGTCAGTGCTGATACTGGAGGGGAGAGGGTGGGATTGGTGATACCCAGAAGTGGTCCAGGACTGAGCTGTGCCCATCGTGGAGCTGCATCCGTCCACATCCGATCCTGTTGTTGTTGTTGTTGTTGGAGACAGGGTTCCTCTGTGTATATCTGACCATCCTGGAACATGCATTCTGTATTTCAGCCTGGCCTTGAATTCAGAGACCCACCTGCCTCTACCTCCCAAGTGCTGGGATAAAAGCATGTGCCACCACCGCCTGGCTCACATCTGGTCCTTCCTGTTTGACTTTGGAAATTATTTACATCTTATTAAGCACAAAATAGATCTTTGCCTCTATATTAGGGGCTCATTTTAATAAGCTGTTTTGTTTTGTTTGTTTGTTTGTTTTTAATGTGGTTGGGGATGGGATCGGGCCGTGTGCTCGCTGGCAGATTCACTACCACTGAGTTGTAGCCCCTGCAATGACTCTAAAAGTGACAGCTATACCTCTGTCTGGGCTCAGGAACCTGAAATAGTTTCAAGATTCTGGCAATGATTTCTCCTGAATTTCACAAGGGCCTGTGAAGTGTCATTGAGCAAGCTGTACTTACCAACCGCCTGGCTCTTAAAGACTTTTTTACTTTTTTTTTTTTTAGCCAGTGTCTTGCTATGGAACCCAGGCTAGCCTTGAACTCTGTCTCCCTGTCTCAGTCTTGTGATTGCTACGCTAAAGACAATATTTTGAAGTAGTGATGGGCTCTTGGCAGTTACAAAGGTGGCACAAAGGGTCCCATGCCCTCTCCAAGACCCCAGCAGCCATACCTCACAGTCTAGTACAGTCTCAGAAACAGGAAGCTGGCCCAGCCCACCTGACATTCAGTGCACATTAATTTTGTAATTCGTATTTCCTGTGAGTAACTTTCGCTGTCACAGTGTGTTCAAAGTCAATCATCCCAGGGCCCCTTCAGGTGAACAGCTTGCTGGGTGAAATGGAGGGGCTTCCCTTGTGTAAGTTGGGGTGAGGAAACGCCAGTTTGGACATGCATCTGTGGCCGCAGTTTTAAGTGTGTGTTGCTAAACTGAACCCTAGCATCCTAACATGAACAGGTCCAACACTGTCTGTGCTGAGTGATACTGGATAGCTCCCGGCTCCTTAGTGGTAATGATAGAAATTCCTCCTAGTCTGCTGTCCGAAAAGGGAGATTGGAGTGTGGTTAGGGGAAGATGGCTCAGCAGAGACAGGCATATGTCCCCAAGCCTGGGTCTCACGTGGCTGAAGCAAAGGACCAGCTCCCAAGAGTTGACCTCTGACTTTCCTGTGCCATGACACATGTGCTCACCCACACAAAGCAAGCACAACTCAGTGTAAGAAACCAGAGAGCAGGGCGGTGGGGGCACACACCTGTAACCCCAGCCGGATCTCTGTGAGGTCAAAGCTGGCCTGGAACGGCCAGCCAGGGCTACATAGTGAGACCTTGTCTCAAAACAATAGAAAATAAATAAATAAATGCATAGAGGGAGAGATGAGCTGTCTGTAGCTTTTTCTTGTTATTTAGAAGGTATACCTGAGATTAACAGTCACCTGGGAGCTAGCCCCAGTCTGGGGGTGGGGGGAGGGAGGGGACAGTATCATCCCGCCTAGCATCTCCCAAACCTTGTTCCCCAAACCCCTACAAGTCCAGTTGCTGCTCCTCAACTCCCAAGAATTCAAAGCAGTTCTTGGATATTTTTGGGAGGAGGGGTTCCAAACAGGACCTGGAACTTGCTCTGTAAACCAGGCTGGCCTCGAACACAGAGACCTGCCTGCCTCGGCCTCCAGGATTAAAGGTGTGTGTCCACCACTGCCCAGCTGCACCTTCTGGATTTTTATAAAATAATGCCAGGGCACTTTCTGTGTATGTGTGTGGTATCTGTGACATACTTAATCATTGCCAAAATCCTAGATTGCTCTGAGTCTCCTGGGGTAATGTTGCTTTTTACATCACCTTCTGTTGAACACGCCCATAATCCTGCCCCGCAGGGGATATTTGTATATATTGCATTTTGAAAACTAAACAGATTCTTTGAACAGTGTTGTTTTAGTCTTTTACCTATCTGTTTTATTTGTTATTCTTCTGCCTAACCACTTTTTGTTTTTATAACTATTGGGGAGGCCCGAGGACTCTTGCACTGTAGCTAGGTCCGGCTGGCTGCTGCACACTTGAGTTTATTGTAAAACCCTGGGTTCTGAGTAAGTTGTTTGAATACAGCTGTCATGGTTGTTTCTTTCTATTCTCATCCTAAGAGAAAAGAATCTGCCTGTCATCCTCCAGTTGTGCCCTCGTATCTGCCTCTCTAATAAATGTTATTATTTTTTCTTGGTGCTGTGTATTTTAAGTGATTTTTCTCTTTTTCACATTACTCTCTGTGTTAAGTGTGTAACTCTCTCACCTCTGGTACTGAGGAATTTTCCAGCCAAAAGCTTTTTTGTTTTTCCAAATAATTCTGCCTCCCTATTCTTATCCCTCCTGTCCTCAGGGCTGGGAGCATCTGCTTTCCTTGTCTTCCCTCGCCTCTGGGGATGGAGAGCTTTCGCTGCTCAGTGAGGCAGGCAGCCTTAGGCTCCCCTCTCACCCAGGGCATCCGTCCTTACTGCCGAGAGACCTCCTGTTGCAATGGGAGAGAGAATTTGCCCTTTAGCTTCCTGGCACCATCCAAAAAAAAAAAACAAAAAAAAAAAAAAAACCCACAGTTCAGTTGAGCAGGTTGTTAACCCATTGACCTTTTGTTTTGGTCCAGAGATGGGGCCAGCTAAAGATGGCAATAAAAAGCCATCTGTCTTCCCAGAGTGTGGAAAGTGGAAGCATGACCTTGAGTTCAAGGTCATCATCAGCTATATAGAGAATCTGAGGTCACCCTAGGCTACTTGAGAGCCTGTCTCAAAACAAACGATTAAAGCCTCGAAAGCTCTCCACAACAGAGCCACTCTGGCAAACAATTACTGAAATCCCTTCCCTTCTCCCCAAGGCAAGCAGTTTGCCAGTGGCAAAGTGCCTGCCTCTCACCTGAGGCTTCCTCTAACCCGGGGCTTTTCTTTTTTCTTTTTGTGTTATAGGTTCCTAAAGGCAGTGCACATGGCCAGAGTTCCCCGTGAGCCTCCCCAGGAGCCACCATCATCCAGCCCACTTGTCCCCACAGGTCTCCAGCGTCACCCAGGCCGGCGGGGCATCCCGCTCATCTGCAAGCTGGGTTCCCTTGTCCCACCTCCCCTTCTCTTCATAGCGTTGCTCCCGTGGCTCTGCCCATTGTCCTGGCAGGGGCATTTCTCTTCCTCAGCCCCACGCAGGGATTGTCCGCCTCGCTCCAGTCCCCTCCCACACAGGCCACAAAGCCAACTGGACTTGCGCCCGTGTGCCCCTGCTCCTGCTGGGCTCCCAGTCTACCTGCAGACTGCCTGGCCTTCCTTGCACATCTCACACTGTGCCTTTCGTCAGCCGACACCACTGGTTTCCTGGGTGACTACCAGAATCCAGCCAAGGAGGGCCAGGCATGCACTGGGTGGACTGAGCGCCCACCTGTCTCCCAGGTGTCTCTTGGGACGTCAGCAAATGTGTCCTCTCCAGAGGCTTCTGCCTCACACCCTCTGGTCACCTATCCTCCAACTTCTCGGCACTGACACCTTTCCTCCTTCATCCCAGTGGCTCTATGGTGGGACTAGGGCATCCGGCCCCTCCCCACCTGCACTCTGGTTCTAAACATGGCCCAGGAAGATCCATACTAAAGTCCCAACCCTAGCTGTGGGCCAGCCCTGTTGTCTTGCTTGTGTCTGCCTTCTGTGAGCTGTCCGCCTGTTCATGGCACCCTGTGACAAAGGGCCTCTCACCCACTAGCTCGATACTGTAAGGCGGACCTGCTGAGCCCCATAAGTAGCATTTGAGGACTCTACTATGTTCCTCACCAAAGACCTTATGCCTCTTGTGGTCCCTCTGGTGGCTCTGCGGCCACCACGTCTGCATTTGATCCTGGAAGCCCTGAGGAATGGATGGAGTTTGCTTTTGAGGCTGTGTTCCTCTCACTTGATGGATCTTCGCTCGAGAACCAAGATGGTCGGTCATTCACGCCTTAGAGCCACACAGCTTCTCCCCCCTGCACGGAAGCCCCAGTGAAGGCCGCCCTGTTAGCATGAGCTTCTGGGCAGCTGGTAGCTTGGCATCATGTCAGAGGATCAAAGACATGGGAGTCTTACAGAGACAGGGACAGAAAGGGCAATGTCCTCAGGTCTGGCCTGGGTTTTGTCCAAAGTTTGCATAGATTCAGACATTCTCCGCAAACTGGGGCTGGCACACCATGCTGCAGACTAGTACTGCTAACTTCATAGCAGAAAGGGGGGGTACCAGGGCGGGGAGGGATACCAGGGCCGGGTGCAGGGACAAGGGCCTGGCTTTGGATTTCAAGAGCAAGCAAGGATTAGCTTTCTCCACCCCCCCCCTCCTCCCAAGCAAGGCCAAGCCCGGGGTCCTGCACACTGTCCTCTGGGCCCCCCGTGGGGCTGTTCCATGAACCACAGTTTCTGTTCCCTGTAGCAGGTGTGCCCTTAGTCCCATGAGGAAGACTCAGTGAACAAAATGGAAGCCTGGTACCTAAGGGTGATGTCAGGGCCTCAGCTCTGACACAGTTAACCCAACTTCAGCAGGTCACCAGAGCCTCGGGTTTTTCACCAAGTTGGGCTGACCGCTGCCCCTCCCTGAGGAAGCTAAGTGGTTTTTACGGGTCTGCTTGCAGACCTCGGTAATGCATGAAGGCCGTGCCTCCCATCTCCTGCCTGGATTAAGAACGGCTCTTGCCACAAAGATAAAAGGGATAAGCGGCCGATCCGTGACTGTTGAAACCTCTGCTTGTCTCCCTTCTCTTCTAACTGCCTGTACTACCTATGTCCAGAGGATGGCAGATGAGCGTCTTCTGGCCAGTTCTCTAAGCTGCCCAGTCCACTGTGGGAATCCTGTGGAATCGGACGGGGACGGGGTGTGCAGGGTTTCCCAGGGAGCTCAGCAACCCCTCTCTCCAGGACCCGCTGCCTGTCATCCCTAGCTGCTAGAGCTGTTACAAGAATGACTCACTGTAAAAGAACCTGCCCTGCAAGTGACTTAGAGATGAAAATAAAAGGAACTTGACATTTGCCCGTTTTTTTTTTTTTTCTTATTCGGGATGTGAAGCTGTGATGGCTCCTCCCTCTAGGCTGAGTGGCTCAGCCAGTGAGAGCAGCCCCAATATTTCACGGGGGCTCTGATGCCTTCCGGTGACACCTGTGGTGATAGCAGACATGTTCACACAAAGTTAAACAGCTTCTGTTCCTGCCAGGAAGTTTCTAGAAACTGCAGCCTGGTGGTTCTTTTTGATTTTGTGTCTTGTATGTGTAACACGCAGAATGTCACTAGTAATGACCCCAAATTCTGTACATGACATTAAGCACCTTTTAAAGCGCGCGCATGAGTGCGTGCGTGCGTGCGTGCGTGCGTGCGTGTGTGTGTGTGTGTGTGTGTGTGTACACAAGCGAGCTGCACTAATTCTCAGCTTGAGGGCATGGCACTGTCGGGAAGGCCTTCCCAGCTGACAGGTCCTGGGCTGGCCCGTGTCTCTGGAGGTGGAATTAAAACCAAACAAAGTGCTTTCATTAGAAGGCTACTCTCACCCTTGTATGAAATGTTAGTCCTTTCAATGTTAAATAAAATATAATTTCTGGTGTCACCCGGTTCTCTGGTTGCATGAAGAGATGCCTCGGGCTGAGGAGATGCTTCAGTGGGTAAAGTCCCTGTTGAGCAAACACAAGGACCTGAGTTCAATCTCTGGCACCCATATAAGAAGCTGGCACAGCAGTGAGAGCCGGCACCCCAAACACTAAAGGGAGGCAAAGGCAGGTGGGTCCCAGTCACCAACTGGAAAGCTAATTTATGAGACCTTGTCTCAGGATTTACAGAGGCATGCACCATTAATCCCAGCACTCAGGAGGCAGAGTTTCTGAGTTCAAGGCTAACTTGGTCTTATTGAGTTCCAGACCAACCAAGGTTAAAGGGACCTGTCTCAATGTAATTAAGATCGAGTGATAAAGGGTGACACCTGGTGCTATTGATCTGATCTCCTCTACACGTAAGTGGTGAGCACACACAGGCTTGAACATGCCCTCCATCGTAACATGCACACACACGTGAGGGAGGCAGGGGACTCCAGTCACAGAAGCTCCCAGGGCTGATGGCTGGCCTCTGCTCTTCTCTGTCACTGTATAAACTCAAGAGGAATCATATCTACTCAGGGAAGGCTAGAGACCTACTCAATAATAAATGTCACTTCCAGCCCTAAGTAGGCTGACACATTGCAGAGACACATTCTATCCAAGAATGGCAGATGTGTATTTGTTTTGGGGGAACAAGGTTTCTCTGTGTAGCCCTGGCTGTCCTGGAACTCGCTCTGTAGACCAGGCTGGCCTCGAACTCACAGAGATCCACCTGCCTCTGCCTCCCAAGTGTTGAGATTAAAGATGTGCGCCACCACCGCCGAGTTGACCTCTGGCCTCAGGAATGCCAATGTATGTGGGAGTTGGACCAGCACGAGTACACATTCATGGTCCACAACGGTCCACTGTTCTCCCAATGGCCAGGCGAGAAGTGCTACAGGCCAAGTCAGCAGCCCTGGATGGCTCTAAAGGACCACCTGCAGGCCCAGTGTGGTGGCACACACCCTTAATCTCAGCACTTGGGAGGCCGAGAGGCAAGCAGATCTCCATGATTTCCAGGTCAGTCTGGTCTATGTAGTGAGTTTAAGGCCAGCTAGAACTACAAGGGAAGACCCTGCCTCAAAAGGTGCTACATGTCTGGTTCTCACTGGCTTGCCTATTGTTGGAGGCCATGATTTCACAGCTGGTTTCGAACACTTCACCCTGTCTTCTCAGGGGAGGTGTGGACACACCTCCATTCCCGAAGAGTGTTTAGGGGTGTTTTGGGGAGGGAGCTGTCCACATTGAGAGATATTAGCCGCCACACCAAGTATGGGCACACTCCCCCACGGGTCATCAGGAAGAGCTGCAGAAGCCTTTTCTTTTCTTTTTAATATTTTTAATGGTTTATTTTTCTTTATGTCTATATGAGGGATTCAGATACTTTGGTGTTACAGATAGTTGTGAGCTGCCATATGGGTGCTGGGAATTGAACCTGGGTCCTCTGGAAGAGCAGACAGTGCTCTTAACCATTGGGCCATCTCTCTAGTCCCTGCAGAAGCCTTTTCCATAGTGGATGGAAGCAGCTTCCAAGAAAGCTGCTACCTGCAGTACCAGGAAGCTAACATTTGGGGGAAAAAAAACTTCTAAACAAGTCAAGAAGTGATAGCTGGATGTGGGGGTACACAACTGACATCCAAGCACTCAGAAGGTGCACACAGGAGGACCAGTTCAAGTCTCGTCTGGGTTGCTAAACCATCATGCTCCATAGAGGCAGTGTGGTGGAGGAAACCAGGTGCCTGTCGTTAGCAAAAGATTAATTTTGGAAAGTCATTTCCAGAATGTTCTTTGAGGACTTGGTTGTTTCATCAGAAAGGAGTCTGTGGGATTCCAGCAGAGCCTGGCATCTCCTTGGCTCCTCAGAACCTTCCATGGCTGGGGGGCTCTTGCAGGCAAGATGGCTACAAACCGGGAGGCTGTGTTTCCTACCCTGATACTGGGGTTGCAGAGAAAGAAGGTTCCTGATTCACAGAATCAGGACACTCACACGCCCTTGGGTTGGGTTTCTCCAGTATTCTGGAAATACCGGCTGGCCCAGGCACCCCAGCAACCAGCTTGCCCTGGCCACACCCTGGCCTCAGGAGCCTTGTTGGTGAGGGAAGTAGCGACCCCTAGTGGAAGACGGCAGAACTGGAGTAGCATCCCTAACCTGCGACTAGGGAGGAAACCTAAGAGCCTGGGGGTGGGGGAAGGGAGCATCCCTCATCTACGCACCCCTCCTCCCCCCACTGCCTCCAGTATCAGAGCCTCATGCTTGCTCACAGTAAAATTCTAGAACTGCGAGAGCCCCAGGGAATCCCCCAAGACACACCCTTAACTACTGCTGCTAGCAGCAGGCTGGCATGAGCAGATGGAGGCAGCAGAGTAGAAGCCCTGAGCTGCTGTGCCTGGTGACCCGGACCTGGGTTCTATCCCTCGCTGCTGTGCCTGGTGACCCGGGCCTGGGTTCTATCCCTCGCTGCTGTGCCTGGTGACCCGGGCCTGGGTTCTATCCCTTGCTGCTGTGCCTGGTGACCCGGATCTGGGTTCTAACCCTCGCTGCTGTGCCTGGTGACCCGGATCTGGGTTCTATCCCTCGCTGCTGTGCCTGGTGACCCGGACCTCGGTTCTGTCTCTGGGCTCCTACATGGTGGAGGGTGAGAACTACTCTGGAGGGTTATCTCCTGACCTCCACATGTATACAGTAGCTTCCGGCCCTACCACCCCCAAAACAAGTGAATTAAAAAACCAATTGCTGTTATTAAAGGCGAGCCCTGTGGGTCCTGAGAAAGCAGGAAGTGGCTGGACAGTGAATATGGCAGCTGAGCATGGTGGAGCATAGCTGTAACCCCAGCACTCAGGAGTTCCAGGCCAGCTTGAGCTATATAGCCGAGCCCTGTTTCAGCAAACAAAGCTGAAGGCTAAAAGGTGGGCTAAGCTTGAAGGGGTTCAACGCCTTCTGTCTCTGCCATCACTCAGGGTGAACCCTTACCTCCCTAGTCCCTGTGGTGCTTTCCTCTGGTGTCCAAATACGGGACGGGAGCCAGCCAGCACCCAGCAGCCCCTGTGTGTCTCAGCCAGCACCAGCAGCCCCTGTGTGTCTCGATTTGCATCAAGTATTCATTAGGCCCTGGCTGAAACACTTGTGGCTCTGTGCGGTAGGTTTTTAGTGACATCAACTGGGGACATCTCAGGGCTACAAGAAAATAATATACACAAAGGCTCACGTGTGCCTTCGTCCTTAGACCTGGGCAGGCAGGAGGATATTTCCAGTCCTGCAGTGCTCTGCTGGACACAATGCCCCCAAAGGGACAGCGCCCAAGAGGCAGTGCAGCCTGCAATGGTCCGGGTGAGTCCTGCAGAACCTCCCCCCACAGCTCTCCACATGTGAGGACCACAGTGGTCCTGGCACACTTACTCAAGGTTGCCAGCTCCTTTTCAGGCTCTCTGTGGGTATCAGTGCATCTGTGCCTGCTCCCCTTGATCCGTCAAGCAAGGTCCTGGAGACAGGAAGCCTGACACTAAAATTCGACTTTATTTCTAGTTCAAATTTAGGCCATGCAAGAGTCAGGGTAGTTTCATGTTTGCCCTGAGTTTAAAATAGAATGGGTGTAAGGTACATCCTTTCTGCTATAGTTTGCGCAAGTTCATGGGCAGAACCACAGACGATTAGGACCTGCATGTGCCCTCAGGTGCCAGACACCTGCTCTGCAGGGATGGCTACCCACTCCCACAGAGAGGCACAGTCAGTCCTTCCTGGCTCCTCCTTGGAGACTCAGCCCTAGGGCCAGAAGTTGGCCCCAGTTCACCAGCCCCTGGGAACTTCCTGCCTTGCTCAGCGAGGATGCCTTGCCTGCCAGATCTAGGTTCACTGGAGCCACTGAAGAGCTAGGCGTTTATTTCAAGGGGAACTACCCAAGTGTTTTGAGGCAAACCAGGGTCTATTTCTAGCTCAGCTTCCCGCAGTACAAGCAATGAATGTTGCCAAGCCCCTGAATTAACTCCAGACAGAAATCCTCCTCCATAGGAAGCCGCCCACGTGTGCACTATGGGTTCAAACGTATGTAGCTCTCGGAAGTGAGCGCGTCTGAAACATCTCTAGAAACACTCCACACACACAGTAACTTGTAAACAGAGGCTTGAAGAGGTAGGGTGCAGGGTGTCGTGGAGTCCAGGCTGGCTTGCAACTCAAGATGCGGCCAAGGATGATCCTCTTGCCTCTACCTGCTATAGGCTGCTTCTATTACAGGCAGGTTCCACCATGCCTGAATTAAGTGGTGGGACTGCAATCCAGGGTTTCGTGTGTGTTAGATAAAACACTCTTCCAGCTGTGAGGTACATTCCCAGTCCTATATGCATTTCCTTGTTTGGTGGATTTGTTCTGAGATGGAATCCTGTAGCCCAGGTTAGCCTCTAATTCAAATGCCGGA